AGAGAGAGAGAGAGAGAGAGAGAGAGAGAGAGAGAGAGAGAGAGAGATTTTCGTCGCTTATGCAGTTGACATTCACATTTTCGATTGTTCTTCTCGATTTGTAATTAATTTGTCATTTTAATGTGACCAATTTCGTCGTAATTTTCACTTTAGCCGCCTTCTTATCCGAATCTGTTTAAGGCGCATTGACCTAGCCATTGTGTGTTGTTTTGCGTAACATTACGGAATGCTTTTCAATACACATTTGATTAATCAAAATCGTTTGTCCACCCGATCAAGACAATCAATTTTCGCCGTTCCACACTTTGTTCGCGTGGTATTTATACCGAGTTTTGTTTTATTCCAAAAAAAAGTCTATCAATTCGACCATGGACAGACATTTCAATAGATATGGTGATTTAGTCGATCAATATTTAAATACACAAACATAAATGCCCGGTGTTTGATTTACATAAAATTAATATTTAATTTCCATTTTTACACCATAAAACAAATTCACACAGCCATCGAATCGTGTTTGAAATCGAATTTCGAAAAAAGGCAGTCATTTATAAATGAGATTCATTCAATTGTTGTGGCGACGACGACGGTGTCTTGATGAATTTCGTCGCCAATTAATTTGTGTGTTGTGTCGCGTTTTCTTCTTGTTCGCTCCGTTTCTTTCTCAACTCTAATTTCGATTGACATTTTTATGAATCGAAAAACTGTTTTGAGATATTTCGTGGCTAAATTAAATAGCGATCCAATAAATCTTAATTTATTAACGAGAACCTCACTCACCAGCACAATCACAACAACAACAACAACAACAACAGCGACGACGACGACGGAAAAGTATCTATAACATAATGAGAGAGACAGAAAAAAAACACCATCCGCATTTGGTGTGTGTTTCTCTCTCTCTCTCTCTCGTCTCTACCAGCCAATATCCAAAAAGCGAAACAAAATCAGTGAATTGAAACGGGCTTACTCAACCGGTGCCACACACGAAACATAATCATTTGCCAAAGCACACTTTGCTCGTTTTTTTCTTCTTTTTCTTACTGTCGTTGCTATTACTGTTGCTGCAGCCAATTTTATGCGGTAGTGCGAACACGGTATTTCAACGTGAGTTTGGCATTTCGGTTACTCAATTTTTGTGCTTCTTCCAATGAAAAATCGAAGAGAAAAAAAACGACGCATACAAAACAAATTCGAAACAACAACAAAAAAAAGAAACCACAATCTTGTGGCGAGCATTCGCATCAATTCATCTTCTTCTTCGTCGTTTTTTTTGTCGTCTTTTGTGTCGGTGTGTGTGTGTGTGTTTCTTGTTGTTTTAATCAACTGTGAAATAAAGCAACCGTCCGCATCCATTTGAATGCTATCATTTGTAATCGAGTCATTCTGCAGTCATTCGGCTGTGTGTGTGTGTCTTTTTTTCTTCTTCTTTTTGTTTTATCTGATTTCGGGGCATGTTTTTTCACGCTTATTTATTACCCAAAAGATATATCTATATATATTCCGATACAATCACCAAGAATTTGGCCGTTTTTTTTTCATAGATTTCTTTGTATTTGTTAATTGTTTGATTAGTATGTTTCGTCTTTGCGGTATGTTTCGTCTTTGCGAAATGTTTTACATATCTTGATGCTGAACATCGATTATTACCGGCCTTATATTACAGATCGTTTAACAGAAAATCTAGCCATTGCTAGGCAACGGACAAAATTGGAGGCGAAAAGAAAAATTAGATTTTGGCAAAGATAGAAAAAATTCGTTGATAAACACACAAACAAGAAAATAGTTACCATGTTGAAAGCATTTCATTCAGTCCTACATTTGGATATATTCAAACAATTTGTTTGGAGTTTGCACATGGTTTTCTTTTTCTCTCATCATCTGCTACTGATTCTTTTTCTTTTCGAATTCTCGTGGAAATGTGTACAAGGCAATAAATCTCCGACGAGAGAAGAAAAAATACGCTATTAAATACCATGAATATCTAATTCGGTCCAATGAGAAAGAGAATGTTGAATTGTACATCGAATGTCGTGTGTTTACATTGCATGTTTGGTGTGTGTGCTGAGCAAATGCCAAATTTGGCAACGGATTCCATTTAAAACCGATTGAAATGAAGACTTGAGACGAAATTGCGATTACTCTGTTGTGTATTTGCTTTATGCCTCACCAGTTGTGCAAATAACAAACAATGACAAGGCAAGTCGCAGAATGCTTCAAGCCGATTTCTTTTGCTCGTACCTTTAATGCTCTCTCTCTCTCTCTCTCTCTCTCTCTCTCTCTCTCTCTCTCTCTCTCTCTCTCTCTCTCTCTCTCTCTCTCTCTGTCTTTCACTTTGCATTTCTCTCACTCCATCCCGCCTGTCTCCAAACTGATAGAGTCAATGGAACAATACCAAAAAAATCCAGCGGCACATTGAATCATCTCGTCGCTGGCAAATTCCGCGTGCCAGATTAGTTCCAGTTGTCATTTAATTGTGATAAACACATTATGACGTTTACAACTGAGAATATATGAACGTGCCCCGATTCAACTGCGTTCATTGTGTATCAGAAAAAAAGAGAATGAACCGAAAAGGAATGCAAATAAGTAATAAAAAAGCGACGAAAAATGTCGAGATAAATTTTTAAATTTTATCAAAACGGTTGAAATGAAAAAGGCAAGGGCGAAGAGAAACAGAGCGGTATGCATGTGTTTATATGGAAGCGTCATATGCGCGCGTCCTACGATGCGTACATATTCATGTCTATATTTAATACAATAAATTATACGTTTTGCAATGTGTGAATTAAATAATGACCCAGTGATGCCGTTTCGATCGTTTCAAGAAATGTATACCTACATTTTGTTGCGTACACAAACTGCATCGTGCACACGGCGATTGTAGAGCGTGTTGGTATGAATCGAGCGCGAGTCGAAAAGCTTTTTTTCCACTGCTGTTTCTTTTTTCTTTCTAAATTCGCATTTTCAATATTTGCTAAGTGGATATATATATCTAGCAAGTTGTCTGTCACAATTAGGAATACATTAATTTTTAGCTCACTTTGTGTGTTTACACTCTTTTTTTTCTCGTTATTTCAACGACTTTTTTCTACTTCGCCTTTTTATGTCTTCTTTTTCGCATGGTTCACTTCGATGGAGACATACGGCCAAGCGCTTGTTGAATCGATTTAACTTCAATATTTGCACTAGCCGACACATACACACATATGTATACGTGATTGTGTGCGCATTCAAATGATTTTTATGAGGGCAAAAAACGTTTTTTTTTTCGCTTGAAAATAAATATCGTGTTGTGTGTGTATTTTATGAATGTACGAATATTTGTGATTGCACCGAGATTTTTATCGAAGTTGGCGTTATTACAATACGTTTTGTTGTTTACACAAGCCATCTATATAAATGAAAATCCCAAAAGAAAGCAAGCGGGCAGAGAGAGAGAGAGAGAAAAAAGACCGCGTACACAATATTTGAACGGGAATTGTTGACATGTGATGTGTGTACTTTGTTTTCCTCATTCACTCTTGTTTGTTTGATATCTGAAATATGGCCTCATCACTTTTAGGATAAGATTTCCTCTCTTATTTTCGGCTGAAGCGCTAAGGTTTCACCTATTTCCGTTTTTCCTTTTCTTTCGATATGCGATGATGCAGAGACGGTTAAATGTGTCGAGGCAAGCCGATAAGCAAATAAAATTCTTCCACTTTTTCTACGGCACTTATTTTTTCTCTTCTTGATACAGAAACGGATTTTCCTCCCATACGGTAACAAAAACTCAAATGGGAAATAAAAGTGGAAAAAACTGGATGATATCGCATGTCTCCTGCTTCGTGTGTTTCTTCTTTAAATCTGAAGTAAATGACGCATTTATTGAGCATTTCAAATGTTTACTCGGTTTTATTTGCTCTGCTAGGATGAACTGATTAATGTGCCTTGCTTGAAATCGTCAACAGATTGAGAGATAAGAAGAAACAGCTCAAAAGAAAACGAATAAGAAAAAAAAAACTCCTCCAAATAAATCATTCACAACAATTAATTAGCTATTCTCAACAATGTGCGTTCTTTTTTTTTTCTTTTCATTTCAGACGTTATTTTGTGGAATTTTAGAAGTGTATACCGCATTGAAAGTGTTTATATTTACTTGGGTGCCGTCTGCTGTTTACTTGTGTGTATGCGTGTTGTCGTTCTCTTCAATCCAAACTAACTACATGACAGCATAAAACACTGTGGCGATAGATAGAGAGTGAAGCGGGAGCGTGTTGTAGATGGGAATACAAAAAGTTGCCCCAAAATGTAAACAACGGCAGTTGAGCTCTAAAATTCTAGATATTGTACATATAGAGCACATTCACAAGTTCGGGTGTGTAAACAGCCAAAGTAAATATTGAAATTGACGAGCGGCAGAAACAGAGAGCTGCATAGTCAGAACGAGTGAAACGACAAAACTGACGAGCCAACAACATTGTGAAAATACACAAACGCCCCAATAAAAAAAAAAAGGGTACAAGTGTGACAGAGATAGACTGAGACAGTGCAAAGCAATTATTTGTTCAGATTCAGTGTTTTATTCACTCTCCATATATATATATATATCTGCGTATATTTTCTCTCTCTCCATTGGATTGTCAATTCGCTGGAAATATTCCGGCGTATAGAGAGGCAGCGTGTGTGTTAGTTTTTGTTTTCAATATTATTCGTTATATGTTTACCTTTGTTGTCATTGTTACAAATTGAACGGTGAATGTGAATGACACATTATTTCAAAGACGACGATAAAGACGTGGTGAACAACGGTACCGGCACCAACACCGATCAGCGCAACATGTATCCAAATTCAGGAATTAACGCAGCCGCAGCTGTTGCAGCTAGTAGACATCCGGTAAGTGTTTAATTATCGCATTCGTTCAAATCAAATTAACGGCAAGTAGAAGACAAAAAGTCAACAGCAGCAACAACGACAACAGAAGCACTAGCGAATTTCGAATCGTTGTTAAATCTCTCAAAAGATTGTTTTGTTCCGTGCCCCGAAGAAAAGTCAATTTGCTCAACCGTAACGGAGTCACTCACACATGAAATTGTCAATTATTCATTCACCGGCTTCTTTCTTCGGATTGACACATTTCGAGGGCCCACTTCTATTAACTCGTGCATTTTTTATATGTGATATAATTAAAAGAACGGAATCACGCGACCGGCTATGTATTTATACCGAGCGAGAAAACGAAAAAAAAAACGACGACGACAAAGTTTTTAAATTGACTTTTCAACGAAGACACGATCAATTAATCCCATTTCAAAGCGACGCAAATAGTATTTGAAAGCAAATCAAACCCCTTTCTTTTGTGTATTATTTATTGGTGTGACATTTAATCTAACTCGTTGTTTTTTTTCGTCTTCTTTTGTTTCTATTTCAAGGGACCGCCACAACCGACCCAGCCATACAAATTCACCATATTGGAAAATTGTGATCGAATCAAAGAAGAGTTCAACTTCTTACAAACACAGTACCACAGGTGTGTATCCATCTTATTATCTATAGCTCTCTTCTCATCAAATTCCCGCTCTTCGCTCATTCCATCACACTCAACCCGTGGAAAAGTACATGGGAAGCGCGTGAGCGTTTCAGTTTATCTACTTAACAATTTTTTGTTTGTTTACACTTCTCCAAAGCGACGATTTGTTTCTTATATTAAATTAACTATTTGCTCATACAATTTTCGTATCAAGCTCACTTTTATTTATATTTGCTTGTGAAGAAGAAGAGATGAAAAAAAAATAAACGATTGTAAAATAAATATTTCATTTTAATTGAAATGTTTTTTGTATGTTCATCTGGTTTGGTTGAATGACGTGCAGCATCAAAATGGACTTGGAAAAATTGGCCCAAGAGAAAACGGAGATGCAAAGGCACTATGTTATGGTGAGTATATTGACACTGCATTTGCATTTAATTCATATCACACATCAAACAGATATTCAGAATGAAATAAAATAAATTCTCTTTGTTTCTTTCAACAGTATTACGAAATGTCGTATGGCTTAAATGTTGAAATGCACAAACAGGTACGAGTAAAAAAAAGACCTCCATCATTCAACAGAAGGCAGAAGAAATGAAGAAAAAAAAACAAAATTAGCACGTACACGAAACAATTTCATTTCCAACCGCCTGACAACAATAATTTTCATAATTTGTTTATTTGCATAATTCAACACCCGCTTAATCGATACCATGTTATTTTTTGTTCTCTCTCTCTCTCTTTCGGGTTGAAATTGCCAATTTTAGACGGAGATATCGAAACGCTTAAATGCTATTATAGTACAAATTGTACCTTTCCTGCAAGGTGAACACCAGCAGCAAGTGTTGACAGCCGTTGATCGAGCTAAACAAATTACAATGACTGAATTGAACGCTGTTATTGGGGTGAGTGTCATTTGCGGCAAAAAATATATGTATATTTGTAGTTTATTTTCTGCATTGTCAATATTTTGACATTCATTCATTTTGCGATGTTATTATCGATTGTTTCGATTGACGCCCGTTTAATGTATGGAATTGTTTGTTTATTTTCAAATTTTGATCAATAGCAACGACCGGATTTGCCACGTCTTCTACAGCATATGCAAGCTCAGCAAATGCCTGTGGGACATGCACCACCGATTCCGCTAAATATGCCACATCCTGGCCTTCCTCCAGGCGCATTAGCCGCACCACCACAACATCCACTTGCCATGCTCGGCAAATCAGAGCTGCATCGACCAGATGATGCAAAAAGCACAAGCGGCCTAAGTGCAAATGAAGAACGACACAGAAATTCCATTTCACCATCCGATCGAGATAAATATCGGCCACGATCTCCCGTTGAACAAATGGATATGAAAAAAACCAAGAAAGACGACAAAGATATGGGACATGTAAGCGGAAAATAATGCGATGTTTTGAATGAAAAAAAAAAAACATCTTCTAATTTTATGCTTGCCTTTCTTTTTGAATTCTAGCAATCCGATGGTGAGAAATCCGATCAGGATTTAGTCGTTGACGATGCATCAGAAAGTGCAATGAGCCCAATGCCAAATGCTCACAACAGCAACGGTGGAACACATTCACCGCGTGAAAATGGCCTACTGCTAAAGAAAATGGAACATCCCGATAGACTAGGTCCACATTCACCACGATCGGGTACATCGTCAAACGCTTCGACACCTTCAAATAAGAAAATGGAAGAGAAACCATCGACACCGTTGTCAAAATCAGTGACACCAACCAATTCGAATGGAACAAACGGTACAGTTTGATTGGATTTTTGATTTGAGACATCGACTTGATGCTTTTTCTCATTAGCTTATGAGATGAAACCAGTTTTTTTTTTCTCTTTGAACAATTATAATTAATGAATAAAATCTTTGTGTTACAGGTGACAAAAGTTTGCCAAAACCACCAGTCTTGAATCCAAACTATCCGCATCCGTACTTGCCAGGTGTTCCACCAGAATTGCAGGGTGCATACCCGCCTGGTCCAGTTCCTCCACCGAATTTACCTGCTGGATACCCAAGACCGCCATTGCAAATGGGGTTTGATGCACATCCACAAATGCGAGCACCACCTCTGGCTCCGTCTGCACTTGGAATGCTGCCCAGTGGAAAAGCGTGAGTGTTTGTATAACTAGTTTTTGACTTTTAAAATCTTGCATTGGAATGATGCATTCAACTTGTACTTATCGAAATGTTTCTTTTCCATCCAACAGTGCATATTCATTCCATGTTGGAGGTGACAATCAGTTGCAACCGGTGCCCTTTCCGCCAGATGCATTGATTGGGCCGGGAATTCCACGACATGCTCGACAAATAAACACACTCGCCCATGGTGAAGTCGTTTGCGCTGTAACGATCTCCAATCCAACAAAATACGTTTATACCGGTGGCAAAGGATGTGTCAAAGCTTGGGATATCTCACAACCGAACAACAAAAATCCAGTCAGTCAACTAGACTGTCTGCAGCGAGACAATTACATTCGATCGGTGAAATTGTTGCCGGATGGTCGAACGCTGATTGTTGGTGGTGAAGCGTCGAATTTATCAATTTGGGATTTGGCCTCTCCCACGCCGCGCATCAAAGCTGAACTAACATCAAGTGCACCCGCCTGTTACGCTTTAGCCATATCGCCTGACTCAAAAGTGTGCTTCTCATGCTGTTCAGATGGTAACATTGCCGTATGGGATTTGCACAATCAAGCATTGGTTCGACAATTCCAAGGACACACAGACGGTGCATCGTGTATTGATATCAGTGCGGATGGCACGAAACTTTGGACTGGTGGCTTGGATAATACAGTACGTTCATGGGATCTCCGAGAGGGTAGACAGTTGCAGCAACACGATTTTGGCTCACAAATCTTCTCACTTGGCTATTGTCCGACTGGTGAGTTCGTTTTTCCCCACTTTTCGACTTTGATCGATATTTTATCAGAAAAATGGTTTTTATACAACTATTCATTTATTTTGAAATAGGCGAATGGTTGGCTGTCGGTATGGAGAATTCCAACGTAGAAGTGATGCACGCTAACAAACCGGAGAAGTATCAACTGCATTTGCACGAAAGCTGTGTGCTCAGTTTGAAATTTGCTGCCTGTGGTAAATGGTTCGTGTCGACCGGAAAGGACAATCTATTAAACGCTTGGCGAACACCCTATGGTGCATCAATATTCCAGGTAATTTTCGTGCCTTTTAACCATTAGACACACAATTTCGATGAAATTTGCGTTGTTGAATACTATTCGTTACCATTATTCCGATAAATGAATTCAATAAAACTAAGTGAAATTCCGTTTTGTTCTTACAGTCGAAGGAATCATCGTCGGTGCTCAGTTGCGACATTTCAGCTGATGACAAGTACATCGTTACTGGTTCCGGCGATAAGAAAGCAACCGTTTACGAGGTTATCTATTAGACACATCAGAATTGACATAGAAAAAAAAACACATGTAATTTGGTGGCCATTTCGACATTATATCGATCTAATTGATATATAACACGATCAGGAATTTAACTCATTATTTGCAACAACAACAACAAAAACAAAAAACAACCAACTGAATCGATTTAGTTTTACTTAAAGACAATTTTATTCCAATCACATTTTGCTTTTAAAATAAAAAAAAAAGTTAAATGCTTAGATTCGTGCGGCAATCTCAAATAGATGCAATTTCCCTTGATTTATTAATAAAAAAAAACCATTACATCCATCTTCGTAGACAGCGAATAGACATATGTTCGCAAAAAAAAAAACAAAACGCTATTTGACATTGTAACAAAATAAAGAAATTGTATCCTTAGACTTAACTTTAATCATAAGAAATCTTTATTATTGTGAAGTAACAATGTAAGAAGAAATCTTCAGTTAGAAGCTCTAGATTGTTGTTCAAACATTTAAGAAAAAAAATAATAAGAAGAAGTACGAAGAGAAGAGATGAAGAGGAAAAAACAGTTAAAATACAAGCTGATTCGAAAAAAGCACATAAATGTTACAAAAAGTGTAATCAATAAAAGTGATGATGCTTCATTTCATATTTTCAGATTTTTTTGCTTATTATTCAATCTCTTTGACTACTTTTGAAGTAGTACTTCAGGCTAGACTTCTGGTTATAAAACGATGAAACTTTTAACTTCAAAGCTTGAAGAAACGTTACCTTTTTCGGACCATTTGTAATTTAAAATCAGTCTTTAAAAGCCCCAATGTTATTTGAATCATGATCTCCTTCTTCTTTTGTTCATTTGCCCTTGAAATTCTTCAAAGAAAATCCAAAAAATAACAAAATCCATCGTTTTTTTTTCTTTCATTTTCTATTTAATTTCAATTTAATCAAAAATGTGTAAAACTGAAAATTAAACAATACTCTCTGTTTTTTTTTTTCAATCAAAATAGTCTTCAATGTCAATATCTGGATCTAGAATATCATCTCCGTACGGCGTTAAATCCAATTGATTTAAAATCAAATTTTCCGTTGTCTCTTCGAGTCCAGTTTCTCCGATTAGAATTGCTCCTTGTAGTTTGCCATCGACCAGCACATATTTTATGTATTCTTTGTCTTGTGTAACGCGCAGCAAAGCTTCATATTTATTGTCTAAACCTTGACCATTGTATTTGCCGAGTAAAACCACTTGATAGCCAAACAATTGTGTCACATGACCGAATAGTTCGAAGCAGAAATCTGGGTAAATATGTTGATCGTTGTATTTGGCGGCCATGCTTTTGCCAGCCATCGCACCCATTTGTCGTGCTTGTGTCCACAATCGCATTTGGAACCAATGTGGTGCCCACTCCCAGCCAGCAAAGCACACGTCACCAGCGGCATACACATTCGAAATGGATGTTTCCATCAATTCATTTACGAAAATTCCACCATCGGGTCCGAATCGAAACTGTTCAGCTCTCATCTTGAAGTTTAAATTGGGTACAACACCAGTAGCCGAGACTACAAAGTCACACTCTAAAACTTCGTCATTTTGAAGTGTAACTCGCACAGGAAATTGGTCATCACAAATTGGATTGATGTCAATGTTTTTGATGCCCGTTTGATAGTGAATGTGAACAGCTTTCGGTAAATCTTCATTCTTCCCTGTTAAATTGAACAGCGTATGCCAATCTGGTCCCAATGCAGCACCGCTCTTTTTCACCGTTTCTTCAGCATCTTCGGTGTATCGCATTCGCTTTATGAGTCGTGGTCGATTCGCTTGTGACGATGAACCCGATGATTCAGCTGATTTGTTTTTGATACGAGTTTGAAAGAACGTTGCTGCACCTGGATCAACAAAAGTTTGTGAAACATATTTATCTTTGACCACCCATTCGATGGCCACATTTTTCAATTCATACACAAGCTCCGATGCAATGCCACCATTGCCTACGATGACAATTTTTCGGCTATTTTGAATACGCTTTTCGAAATCGCAAACCGATTCGGTGTCACGAATGCCCAAAATGTATTTCTGATTGGTTGCGTTGATTTGGTCGACAATCTTGGGCCGAGCACCAGTACAGATACACAGAAACTCGTATTTTATGAGATGATTTTGTTGAGCGGTTCGAATTATTTTCTGATGGCTGTCAACTTCCAGCAGTCGATCGGTTACCACTTGCACATTTGCCGGGAGCGTTGAGGCGTGCTTTTGTTCAATATCGAAACGGGTCAATGATTTACCCAAGGCAACAAGGTTTGTCGCGGCTTTGATGATCGGCGATTCAGTAAGCAACAATATTGATTCGGTTTGACAATAAAATGATAAGGTTTCAATGCAAGAGACACCGGCAATTCCACCGCCTACAATCACAAATTTCGCTTCAAAAACACCAGATGCGGATGCGGACATTGTTGAAAAATTGAAATTTCGAAAACAGAGCAAATTGTAACTAAATCTAAATGTTTATTCTATTTGGGTTGAAACGTTGGTTTCTTGTACACGTCGTAATAGTCGGCGTAATCGAATTCACGATGTGGCACTTCGTATTCAAGCAAACCCAAATCGTAGGCACGTTCAATGTTTACTAGTAATCGTGTGTGTTGCTTTTGACATAGACCAGTTTGTTGATAAGACAAAACCTAAAAAAATGCGAATTTATTTATTTTTTGAATTGATGCCAATTTTTTGAAGAAAAAAAATCATCTTTTATCTTCGAAAGACAAATGTACAACTTACATCTCCTGTGTGTGGTGAAATGAACATTTTCAGCAGCTGCAAATTTCGATAGTCTAGCACGAGGAACTCATCGCGGCAAATTGGACAAGGACTTCCAGTGGCGATGACATTGCCTCGGATGCAAGTTTTACGTGTTTTGGATTTTGGCAACTGTCCCTTGTGCACTCGCCGGTATAATTCCCACACTTTTTTGTCACCGTATGTACTTTGGAATGCGGCACTCTTCAAGTATTCGATGCTGGTTTCAACCGGGATTATTTTGCTTCGATCACGAGGCGTTCCAGCGTATTTTTTGTACAACTTGTGAACGTTCTCGTCACCTTCTTCTTCACCCTCTTTCTCTTCGTTGGCTTCACAGAATCGAGCAGTGGTCAATGAAAATGGCCGGTGACTGGTCACATTTGATGTTTTTTTTAAATAATTCGCAAAGCGATTCACTGCAATTGTTTGATCAACATTTGTAGCCAAAGTTTTCGAAAAAAAATTGCAATTTTTTGCTATCGCTAACCTCAACATCTCGATTTTGTGCTTATCCCTCTCTTCAACGATTGATGGCTCAAGAAATGTCAAAATATTCACATGCGATATACGACTTGACACTGTGAACCAGATATATCAAACTCAATTCAAACCATACTTAATGTCAGCGATTCGGTTTGAATCTATTGAAGATTGTTTTGATTTTTTTTTTTTGAGCCAATTCAATCGAAAATATTCAAATAAAGCTTATATTCATATCTTTTATGACTATTCAATTCCAAAATTTCGATTCTGTAATAAAACGATTTGATTTGTGTAAAATCGTTTAAATCACACACCAAAATCAAAGTGCTAAAGTATCATTGCTCACACTCTGGTGGTATTTTATCGAACTAATCGCGGGAAAATAACGCAGCAGCAAGTTGTCAATACCTTCACTCATTCATATTATTGCTGTCAAAGTGAAAACACATGGTTTTTTGAGTAGATACGCATTTAGGAAAAAAATGTGAAATTTCATGAGTTTACATGCATAAACGTGTTTTATCCAGAAGAATATCAAGCCAAATAAAAATACCTGAGATTTGTGAACGAACAGACGTTTTTCGTGGCAATTGCGTATTGGTGAGAAAAACAAAGTGAATTTAATTTCAATGGGTTTTTTTTTCTTATTCTAACCTTATGGTCTAAATGATGACGCGACCAACGACTGTATTTATCAATGTTGTGCAATTAATTCAATTATTTTCTCCTTAATATTTAGAATTGGACCTGACAAAATGTCTGTTTACAGTGCATCAATGGCAACGACGCCAATCCTCAAATCGGCCAATACGTCACTGAATCGAAAGAAAATCCACGAACGAATCCGGAATACGGTGCAATTTCAACTAATAAGCCAGAATGGTTTGCGAAAGGTGCTAGAAGATGCGTCCAAAGGCATAAACGTTGGGGCATATGAAGATTACATACGAGCGATGCATGATGTTGATCTCAGTGATCCCGATTTCGGTGTACTGATCAAAGAGAGTCGCCAATGCATTGAACTTCTCAAACCACACAAATTTACATTGTTTGTCGAAACACTCATCTGTCTGAATTGGATAAATCGCAATGAGACACTTATCGTTGAATATCAAGAATTCTTAATCGATTTATTGTCTGAACATAATAAATATACAAGTTTTGCTCTGTCAAAGTTGATACAATTCTGGGTACCGAAACCAATTGACGAGTCATTTTGGAAAAACGGCGTTCCTGATGAACGCATTAAATTTTTCCTCAATTACGTACATCAAACACTTGGCAAAATACTCGATGTGATCCCGATGGCCAACGATTTTGCCATTGAAGTTATTGAAAAACTGTTTCCCTACTACACAAAGCCGTCTTACGTCATAGCCGGCTACATGAACAATATGATGTGGATGATGGAATATCGGCCGATGTTCCGCGAAGATCTGCTACAAATATTGTTTAAGAATTTCGTTTTGATGGATGTAAGTGTGCGACGAAGTGATATTGAGGCAGCCGAACGATTGAGTCAAGATGCAGAGGAGATTTTCAAAATGGATGCTGATGATGTTAAACTACAAAATCAAGAAGGAATGCAACATCCCATTGCACAAACCATTGATATTTGCTTGAACAAACTATTTGAATACATAACGGCACAATGTCAATCAAATCCAAATGAAGATTCCAATAAAACCACCCTTCGATGCTCACATTTCTTCAAAATTCTCATGAAATCGTTTGAGGATTATATTCTGCCAACACACAAGACAAATCACATTCAATTTGTGATGTTCTATTTCTGCAGCTTAAGGGTCAGTAAACTTGAAGTTTTGATTTTGTTTCAGATTCGACTTTCAAACTACTCACATTTAATTCCATTCCATCTAACTCATTTCAATTCTTTCTCTTTATCATTCAAACAGACTTCGATATCCGAATCGTTCATCAGTTATCTATGTTCAAAAGTATGGGATCCAAATGTGGCGACAACGGTTCGCCAATCGTCCGTCGGTTACATTGCTTCGCTGCTGGCACGAGGCAAATTCATTTCGCAACAGCGGATAAAGCATACATTGCATGATCTCTGCCGATGGGCACATGATTATGTCGAAAAGTCGGATGCCAGTCAAAATACGCAAAATATCAAGGTGCATCTCGTGTTCTATGCCGTGTGTGAGGCAATCTTCTATGTGATAGCATTTCGTAGTCGTGATTTAACAAATTCAAGTGAAAATTTAACATTTTTACAATCGTTGCAATTGTCCACACTGGTGACGTGTCACCTGAACCCGTTGCGTGTATGTTTGCCAGCTGTTGCAACCACATTTGCCGGTGTAACACGTGCCCATCAACTAGCCTACTGCCATACGATACTCGAGCGGAATGCACGACGAAAACTAGCCATGGTTTATCAAAATGAAATTGTGATGCCCGAAGAAACATTAGACACAACGTTCCCATTTGATCCGTATCTATTGAAAAAGTCCGGCAAATACATCGAAGCAGTTTATCAACAATATCAGCCGTGTGAAGATGAAGATCCAAACGGTGTACACAGCCAAATAGCTACGAATGAACAACGACGACGAAAACGCGTCGAATCACTGATGTCATCGGTTGATGACGATGATTTTCTCTCCGATCCAAAACGCAACAAACTAGCCGAACATTCGAAAAATTACGAAAAAGAAATTCTCTTTTCGTATGGCACATCGCCCGGCTTTCATTAAGCATTTGTCATTTAGCTATTCAAATCAAGTGGAACGTATATTTACTATAAGTTTTTATGGTATAATTTATATAAAAATAATAAAAATAATAAAAATTTATTTAAAAAAGCCATGGTTTTTGATATTACAATTAATTGCCGTAGAAAGAGAACTGTTGAAAGGTTTCATGCGTTACGTATTTCGAAATTTTCGCACCGAATGACAGGAGTCATTTTCGAAGAGCTTCGTTTTGAATTTGACGTTCAAGCAACAACGAACTTTCGCAGCTAACGCAACACATCATTGTTCTCGCGTGTCTTTGTCTCACATTTTTTGTAGCCGTTTTTATTTTCGTTAATTTTGTGCAAATTTTTTTTTTGTCAGTTGTTTGTTAAAATGAATGTTTACGAATTTGAAAAAAGTCTTTTGGAACGGATGGAAGAATCGTGCAATGTTCTCCAGTGCAAAGGATCACCTGTTCCCGCTTCAGATGTACGCGAAGAATGGGCTTGTCATGTTGAGCTAAAAATTGAACCAGCTGGTGGGTCGAATTCAGTGCTAAATTTGTTGCAATTATCAATAAATTGAAAAATTCATTGGAATTGGAATCACAAATCCAAAAAATGTTTCGGTGTCATTCGTTCATTTGCATCAATTTTATTCACAGGATGGCAAGCCATTTGGAAAATGAACCGCGCAACATGCGAACAATACAAAATCAAGTATCCAACAGTTGTCCTGGGCACGGTAAACAATGTCTACTTCCAAGATTTGATGGCTGATTTTTCGATCAGTGCCGTTCAAGATGACGATGTCCATTTGCCCGAAATTCACGAAGTGCCATTGGAAGATCTTTGGCCAACCGTTGATCAGGAGAACAACGAATTGAATATCGAACGCACGGCCGACTGCATCGATGAATTGAGGTTAGTTTCATGCATTTTGGTACATCAATCTCAAAATATGAAGAAAAAAATAAATAAAACGATTTGGCTGTAATACAACATTTACGATTTAGTGGCAATAAAAGCATTAAAAATATGTATTCGTATTGAAAACAAATCAGAAACTCATTCTTGAAAACATATAATTGAAATCGATTAAACCATTTGTTCGGCAGATTTTTCTATCGCAATGTTTGGATGCCGTGGGACAGTGACAGTGACGAGGAGGTCGATTGGTGCAAAAAGCACTTGGAATCGCGGATTCGCTTTTGTTTCGATTTGAAGCGAGGCATGAATTGCGGTATGGCCGATCACATACGGAAGCTATTGGCTGAAGCACGGTATATTCAGAATAAGCGAGAAATCATGGAACTCGAAATGAGTGACGATGAAGATGCTGAAGAAGGTAACATGGCTCATTTGTCTATTTTCAATGAAATAAAACGGCCATTCATAAAGCAACTTTCTTTCATCCGTTCATTAGATCCCCAGAAAGTCGAAGGGTTGATGCGTCTACAATTGCGTATGATTGAAATTCGCAATGAAATGGAAATGCTGGAAAATCCCGTCTTTCGTCGAACGTACGAAGACGTTCATTTCAAAGCCAAATCGAATAACAACAAAATCAAATACGATCAAAAGGCTAATGTTCATATCGTCACGAAAGAAGACACATTCACACGACAAATGGAATACTTGGAAGCAGCCAGAAAACTCATCGGTGCTGATGAATTGGTCAAGTTTGTTCCATCGTTGAAGGTAGGAACAATGCATAAATCATACATTTAGGGCCTAAATAATCAATTTCCATGACATGAATCTTGCAGGATTGTCTGAAAACATGCGCACCTCGTGACTACATCTATTTGCCACACGGTCGTCATAGCATCAAATGGCTAGAGCCTTTGAATGCGGGTGGTTTGATAAAGGCCATCTCTGGTGCAGAAAACAACAAGATCACTTTGGATAGCAACGTTCTTGAATCAAAAGAAAAGGCCATCGTCACAATCGAAGAGAGTGATAATATATTTCTATCGTTCAACGGTGACTACACAATTGAGAATGTAATCATCGATTGTCGACAGGTTCGGATTGGCATTTGGACCAAAGGTGGAACCATCACATTGCGAAATTGTCAACTCATCGGTGATCGTTCGTCTTCAACTGGAATTGGAATTGCAATCGCTGGTAAGATAGTTTGGAAAATTGGATTGAGATGAGATTCTGTCTTTTTTCAATTGGAAAAATCACTCATTTGAATAAAAACATCATTCTGCTTCGATTCTAGGTGATGCAAAGTGTGTTCTAGAGAATACACTCATCCAGAACTTTGCAACTGGCATCTCATGTGCCACTGGTGGTACATTGATCATGAATCAATCGAATGTTTCAAACTGTGGAACTGGTTTGGAAACATTTGATCCAACAAACATTCAGTTTGTTACCGCTCAAATGACAAACAACAGTGATTATGCCATTTATTTCAAAACAAAGGCATCAAACATTTTGAATGGGGAAAAGAAGAAGATTGCCACGAACTTGGACGAATTGCGCAAGTTGATACCGTAAGAGATAGATTTTTTTTATATATGAGTCAGTCATTTTGTCATACATTTCAACCAAATTTCATACATTTCAGATCAATTACCGTAAGCGGCGATTGCACATTCAGTGGCAACAAAAAGGGGAATATCGCCATTGTGGATCATGTGGTTTCATTGCAACATTCCGAATATTTGGAAGATAATTACGAAGACAGCGGATTTACAAATACCGATGTAAGAATGCCAAATGGCAAAATACCAAATGATCTATCATCGCCCATTTTAATCGATGACACAGAACAGTCGAGTCCAATTAGTCGTAATGCATCGCACAATGGAAGCTTTCATCAGAACACAACCGCTGACATCTCCATCATTTCCATAGACTAAGGTCATAGATTACTAACACATCATCCACATTTGCCAAAAAAAAAAACAAATTTTCAATCATTTCTTTGTTCACAACTGTTGCCATTCATAGAATCTCTATTAAAGTCCATTCTAACTATATCATTTGCATTCATATCATTTTACTAACCATGTTCATGCGCTTATTATGTCATAATTTCTTATTTAAACATTTCCACTTATTATTTGAAAGATTCATTTTTCAAAATCCCCGTTGAAAGAATCAACATTTTCTCATTTTTATCCAATTTGTTTTTCTTATTTGATAGGCTGAAAACAAAAACGAAATCCGAATGGATGTGTCAGTTTGAAAAGTCGAAATTCGAAATCAACTGCAGCCAACTTAACGTCAATCACACACAATACACTTAAACAACATATTTTGACATTTCTAATCGTACATCAAACAATGAAACTATCCACAGAAAATACACGAAATTCCACATAAATTCATACAAAAATCAAAATATTCATTTATTAAAACGTTGAGTCACTTAAAATAAGTTTGTAGTTTTACTGCAAAAAAGTCATCAACATGTCTGAGCCACACAAAGAAGAGGAAGAAATTGCTGAAAACGACAATACAGAAAATCCGGAATTGATTGAGGTTTGTAGAGCATTTTTGGTAACTCAGACTTTTCAAGTGTAAATTATGATCGTCTTTCGGATTGTTTTGACTGATGGAAAAATCCATTCCTTATTTATAGTTTGATGAAGATGATATAGCTGATCCACAGCTTGGTTCAACCACCTCTGGACGCAAACGACTGTTCAGCAAAGAGTTACGTTGCATGATGTACGGGTATGGTGATGACCAAAATCCATACACGGAAAGTGTGGATTTACTTGAGGATCTGGTTATTGAATTCATTACTGAAACCACGCACAGGTAAGGCTAGAATGCTAGGCAATGACAGAAAGTCCAGTGAAATGATTCTGAAATGGAAACAGAGAATATAAAATGGTCAAAAGAAGTTGTCATCAGCTTGTTATTGCCATTCAATTTGAATTTGCACTAATTTAACGTGTCATCTTGCAGAGCGATGGAAATTGGACGCACGGGTCGTGTACAAGTGGAGGACATAGTGTTTCTGGTGCGAAAAGATCAGCGTAAATACGCCCGTGTAAAAGACTTGCTAACGATGAACGAAGAACTGAAGCGGGCCCGTAAAGCTTTTGACGAAATCAAATATGTTGGAAGTGAGGGAAAATTCAAATAAACACATATTTTTTATATGCAATCATCATCTTCATCACTGTGGTGGCTGTCATTTGTATGCTTCAATTCATTCATCGACGAACCGAACGATCTTCTGACCATCTGCATTCGACGACATTTTCTATTCTTTCTGCCATGCCAAACCGAATACTCAAAATTCACCTCAATATTTTATGTGGTCATTTGTGTCGACTGCTCACATACATATATACGTTCATCTCATTCCAATCAGAACATTTTGTTTGTTTTTTTTTCCTCTCTGTACATCGAATTGGTGTTTTGTTCTTTTCATTTCAATTCCATTTTATGATTTGATTTTATTTTTCTTCTTTCTTTCCATTCGCCCCTCTTTTAGATTTACGTAAAAAATTAACTATGAAAAATGAAAATGTAGAACAAAATCCATAGCATACAAAATTTATATCGGTCAATGCACATTTGGATTTTCTATTCGGCATTGACACAACAAGAATGGGTAACAAAAAAAAAAACACACACACACACTTGACTTTTTGCTAAAATTGTAAATAAAGAAAAATGATGGGATAATAAAACCACGATTAACTACAGATTTTATATCAGATTGAAAGTTACTTTGGGTTTTTTTGTTTCTTCTCTATATCGAAAGACATTTCAAACTAGTATCATCATTTTAATATGGGTAATCTAGAGTCGATTGAGAGTCATTGGCTTAGATTAATTCGACATGGACTTTGGCATTTACAATAACCGTAACAATAACCGTATCAGGGAGTCGTCTACTATTTAACGAGTCATACACATGCATAACATAAATGCTAGACACGCATCAACGGTGTCACTATAACAATTCCTCATCGAAGCTTATTCAATTCAATTTACTACAGGCAAATGCAAGAGCGATACTCTTGAAAAATCGACGTCTTTTCAACCAATGTAACGGATTTACGCAGTTTATTCCGCATCATAAAGTTTTTATTTTCCAAACTAATAGCATTGAACTTGTGCATATTCAATGACGAGGGGAGTTTTCTTCTTGACGAGCTCAACTATCGAATCCGATCTCCCGATTCAATCGAGTTAAGAACAATCATTGGCGCTAAAAACTATTCCTGAAAATAAAAACACTTCAACTTCATTTTGGCCGAGTCAACATAGACATATCATAGAAATGGTTTTGATTAAGATAAAATAAAACAAAACAAGGCAAAAATACAAGCAATTTATATTGATTTTTATTCAGATTATATTTAAATTTTGAGTGGAATATTCATGAAAATGAGAGGAAAAGAACTGTATTGATGGAAGGCTTATTTTTATTTTTTTACTCTAGAAAAAATTATTGGTGGCAATTGACAGCCTATAAAATTTGTAGTATCATTCTCATGCGATTACTATTTCGACGTTCGTCTTAGATATCGTAACACCGCCTTTGTTCCAAACACATAGTAATTATCAAATTCGGGTGAATGAAATTCCTGGAACCGAGAGAGATTCTGTGGTTTGGGTTCCGATACGTTAACCAATAACAATTCGAAGTTGATTTTTGGCGAGTTTTTATGATTACAAAGCTCGAGAGTTTTCATTGCTTTGGGTATTCTAGCAGTATATAATTCGAACACTTCAGTATATAATTCGAACACTTAGCCAATTTGAAAAATGACAGGCCAAAGCTTCGTTCATTCGCCGTGCCATGATCCGCATCACAATCCAGTAAGATTTTTCGCAACCCAACGAATGTTGCCAAACAGTCGGAAATACTCTCCAAACAGCGATGATTCACACCCCACAACTCTATTTCAGTCAAATGCTGTAGATTTTTCAGGCAAGTGATGTCGTGTCCTCCCACGGGATAATAGCCGTACCAGCCGATGTGGACTTTTTCAAGCAAACTTAGGTTTGCGACAGCAGATAGAATGCCTCGAACGGGGAAAACTTCAGTAGTCCGAAAAGCCACGCATGTGAGCTGTGGATTCCATTGATAATATGATGGCAACGTACGTTCATTCCCATGCACACAGCAAAACTGGGTGTCCAAACAACGTAGCGACCTCCACGGTCTGTCACAATTGGGCAATTTCACGGGTGCACTCAGCTCAAACTCGACTAAATTCGGGCACAATGTTTGGAAATCGATAATATATTCATCCAAGCTGTCTGCTTAGATTCTCAAGTGCTCCAAGTGACGTAGAATCGGTGCGATTTTTGCGATTTCTTCTTCTCTTTCAAGCAGCGAAAGATGTGATTCACCTATTTGCCAATAAGCTTGACGGAGATTTGTACCAACATACTCAGCTAAAATTCCCCAAAATCCACCGGCGCTATCATGTGCAGAGATCCACTCACTAGTCCTATTACCGACTTCAATGGTTAGATCAGTGATGTGACGGCCAACGCAATGTAGAGTTCGACGCATTCTTTCCAATAACTTTGGGAGCAAGGTCGGGTTGAATTTGCGCGTGTCGAAAATATCGTGTTTGAATTCGTATTTCTTAATATGTGGAAAACTGTATTTGTGCAGCAAACCGTTGAACATTTTGCACACATCGGCCATGTTCACGAGTGAATTGAGATCCAAAAACTTGAACAGATGCAGTAAACAGTCTTCGTTCAACATGCACATTTTTGATGTTTGTTCGTCGACTTTGAAAACTTTCTTCGGTGGCAAATTGGTCTTGCTTTGTGGCTGTTCAAATGTATCGGCTGGACGAACCTGGAACGGCTGCTTTATTCCCGTCTTCTTGTCAAAGTCATGTTGCAATTGCATAGAATGGGCCATATGATCGCTGGCAAATGACACAAGTGCTGAATTATCCTGCAACATTTCGATGGATTCAATCTGACCAAATTTGCGGGTGTGCTGACGAATTTGATCAATCGAAAATTCTTGAATCGGCTGAAATAGAAAGAAACAAAAGCAAATTGAAATGAAGTTGATTTAATACAAATGGCTGAATTTCAGACAGAAATTTTCACTAAGATAAATACGTACCAATGCTGTATCTGTTGTGTTCAACTTGACATGAAGTGTCTTCACCACAACGAATCGCTTTTTATCGTACGGCTCTTCATCATCAATTAATTTCCATTCGGAACCGTTTGAAATGAAAGGCATGTTTTGGTTTTATCCTTCACAATTATTACCCTTAAATTGAAACTAAACTAAAAGAATAATTTTTAGTGGATATTGGAGCGTTGATATCAAGACGTTTTGCCAGTTGATGCTAATTAACACGAAAGTCCGTTTTTTCACAATTCGTACAATGAACTGTCAAAAAATGAGCGCCAATTCATATGTGTCAGTCGATATCAGATGGCGTTGAAAATCATCATTGATAGCAGCATTTGAAATGAGATAAAAACGGATCTTAAGGTTGAATTTAAATTTGCAATAAAATAAAATATGATCTCATGAACCATCTAATGCTAATTCTTCTACCGTTTCTAAAAATATTTTTTATTTTAGACTAAATCAAGCATGTAAAATTCATAAATTTGTACCATTTAGGTGAATTCACACATAGAAACCGACACAATGGTCAATGACAAGTGAAGTTTTTGTGTATTCTGATTTGTTTGAATGTATTCAAGCAGCGGTCGTTATGTGTTTCGTTCACATTGCATCGCAATAGAATTTACGAGCTGTTCTTCTCTCTTTCACACCAAATTCACAGCCAAATTCACCTTTGTAAATCAAATGATGACTTTCTGTCGGAAACAATCCATTTTTCCAACGATTGTTTGAGATGATTATTTTTCTGCAGAAATTTACGTAGCTGAAAGTAACCTAATGTATAATATAGATGGTGTCATGAATTTGATTGGGATAAATAAAATAAAAACATAGCAAAAATACAAACAATTGCATTCATATTGATTTTTATTCAGTTCATATTTGAATTTTGAGTGGAATATACAGAAAACGGTGAAGAAAGAGAACTATATTTGTGGGAAATTCTTATTTTTTTTCATTGGCTCTTCACGGGCTCGATTTTGAGGTATGGTCGCATTGACTCGTTCTCAATCACGTTTAAATTTTCAAATTCCTTACGGTCCAATTCCAGTAGCAAAGCATCGCTGGGCTGTGATCGATTGCATTCCAACACTTTGACCAGTTTTAAGATCAATTTATCCGTAAAACCCACTTTGCAATAACAAAGCTTAAGTGTTTTCAATTGATTCGCAAATCGAACGAATTTGATCAAATTTACTTCGGTTATTGTCACACCATCTAGAGCGAAGTGTTCCAAATTCGGAAGTTGCCTAGCCAATTTGACCAATGACTGCTCATATTCCTCTTCGAATTCAATTGGTTGAATTGGGTGCAAGTGCAGATGTATTTTCCGTAACCGAACCATTGTTTTCAAACAGTCGATAACACTTTCCAGACAATTTTCATCCAAATCATGCATGGTTACTTCCATTAAATATTGAAGACTATTCAGGCAAGCGATGCTTTGACCACTTATGCAAAAATTTTCAAAGTCATCGTATATGCCAATTTTCTCAAGAAGAGGCAAGTTTACGGCTGCCACTGAAATGTCTCCATCAAGGGATCTCCAAATTCGAAATTGCACGCATGTGAGCTGTGGATTCCATTCAAAAAAAGATTGCATGTCAGGTGGTTCCATATCTTCATCCCAAACGCAGGCCAAACGACGCAATGTACTCCACGGTTTGTCGGTTTTCGTCATTGGAACTGGTGCATTTAGTTCAAAATCAATCAAATTCGGGCATAATGTTTGAAAATCGATATCTGCGTAGCCGTCATGGCTGTAGTTTCCTTCGATTTTCAACATTTCCAAATGATGTAGAATGGGCGCAATTCTTGAGATACCATCCTCTTCAAAAAGCAAAATTCCTGAAAACCACGCTCGTCGAATGTTTGGCCCAATTTTTTCAGCCAATACTTCTAAAAATCGGCTGATGATATCGTGCTTAAAAACCGAATATTTTGTCCGATTGTTTTCCTCGGCGTTACATTGAAAGGTGAGATCGGTAATGAAGGGACCAATGCAGCGTAGTGTTCGACGCATTTTAACCAACGACATTGAGAACAAGCGTGGATCATAACCGTCGAAATGGTTCTCACTTTTGAATTCGAATTTTCGAATATGTGGAAAACAGTGTGTGTCCAGCAATTCTCTGAACATTTTGCAGACATAGGCCATATTGACCAGAGAGTCAAGATCCAAAAACTTGAACAAGTGCAACAGACAGTCTTCGTTCAATATGAAAATTTCCGGTGGTGGTACTGCACCTTCCATATCGACATCGTGGTATGGTGGCAAAACGGCATTTTCTGATGGTTGATTCCATGAATTGGCCGGACGAATCTCGAATGGCATTTTCTTATCTGGGTCCATCATCTTGTCAAAATCATGTTTCAATTGCATCCAATACGCGCTATAGTTGCTGGAAAATGTAACATGCGCTGATTTCTTGTTAGGCGAAATTTCGATTGATTCGATTTCTCCGAATTTCCGGAAGCGTTGATCAATTAGATCGAACGAAACTTCGTTGATTGGCTAAAACAAGGATCAAAAGTAAAAATTATTTTAATTGCACATAAATGATTTACTTGTAGTTTCAGCATATCAATTCGATGTTAATATCAAATACGTACCCCATACTTGTATGGCTTGACATGGAGTTTTCTCACAACAACAAATTGTTCTTTGTCGTATGGCTCGTCATCTTCAACCAATTTCCATTCAAAATCGTTTGAAATGAATGGCATTTTTGGATTCTGTTCTTTGCAATTATTTCTCTTGATTTAAAATTAAAATTGAACTTTTTTTTAGAAAATATTCGAGCGTTGATATGAAATCTCTTTAGCCTGTTGATTGTTACAGCTAACGCGAAAGTCCGTTTGTATACGATTTGTGTGGAGAAATGTCAAATAATGTAAGCGCCAAATTGTTGTGAGTTGAGACGATATCAGATGGCGTTAACAATCAGGTAATAGTAGCATTTGAAATGAGATGAAAACGAAATGTTTGAATAGAATTTAAATTTATATGGAAATAAAATGTGATCTCATTAACAATCTAGAGCTAATTTTTATTACCATGGTAGCGAAAAGATTTGTGCTAATTTCCGTGGAAATTTTGAACTAAATCAAGTACACAAAACTCATAAAGTCGTATCATTCAGTGGAATTCACACATTGAAACCGCCACAAGAATCAATGACAAGTGGTTTATGTGTATTCTGATTTGTTTGAATGTATTCAAGATGCTTTGATGCTTTGTAGCCGCTACGTGTTGCGTTGACATTGCATTACAATAGAAGTTGTGAGCTGTTCTTCTCTCTATCACACCAAATTCGCAGTCAACATACATTCATTCCTTTTTAATGTAAAATACAGACGAGAAAAAAATCAATTTTTCCAATGATCGTTTGGAAATAAACATTTTGCTGGAAATCATATCATGTGTCGTCCATGAAATCCATAGTATTTTCAATATTTCAATGTCATTTTCGATACGAAAAATCTTCAGAAAACATATTTTTAATCAAAAATGTGGTTTTTGTACAAAAAATGTGATTCTTTGTAGGCAACATTCCCAATTGTATTTTTATTCAGAGCAACTAACCAACTTGGAGCTTGGCTCATGCCTAAACCATTCGTTCCTCTCAAAGCGTCAATCAAGATGCGAATAAATGTTTGTAAATGCTTCTAATTATTTGGCATAAAATGAGGTGAATGACGTTCGAGTTGTCGCCTGCATGTTGTTAAAATTGGTATGTCGTTTTGCAAATCTGCACGGTGCTTATCCGTCACCGATAAGGAGATTTTCATTTGCGTGTAAAATGAATCAAATTAAAATGATAATGTGAAGCAAAAATTTCGAATAGAAAATCCCCTGTGATTGTATTTTAATTTGAATAAATCGAAAAAAAAGCAGAACCAAAGTGTTTTGTGTAAACAGAAGCATGTGCGTTGTATGGTAAACAAGCAGTAACGGTGGCGGGGTTAGCAAATACTCGCTTAATTCAATTTATGGAACATATTTTACCTTCTTGTGGGCTAAATTCAACACCAATTTTCATAATTTCATCTGAACAGCATACTCATCATAGCATAAGCAAATTGGTGAAAAACAACAACAGACGGGATGTCACACCGAGTGACAGCAATAAAATCAACATCAAAACAACACCAACACCATTACCACGCCACCGCCACCGCTGCCGAATGGAAGAGTAAGGGCAAACAAATTTGCGCGTCTAAATGACATTGTTTGCATTGAGCAAACGAGCGAGCGAGCGTAGAGTGTGTGTGCTTCGTTCGACTCATCAGCATATTGTTCATGATGGTGTTTTTACGTGAAAATGTATTACATGACATTGATACAAATATAAATCCGATGCGGCAGTCAGATATGGGGATTATAATTTTCGATTTGATTGAAAGCCAAGCTACACGCAATACGCTTACGCATTGACTCGCTTTCTCTCTCGGATTCGACTCAACCTCGCCGAATGTAGTTGTATCTGTTTGCACGAAGAAAGTGGGGTTCCATCGTAGGTATCATTTTCCACACTCTTATCTCGTTTACAATTGCGGCCTTTCCTCCGAGATGTCACAATTTCACTAAATGATTTTTCGCTCTTGCCAGCCCCTTTTTTTTGTTTGTTTGTAATGCAAACCCACAACTAACTACAGCATCATCGCTGCTGAAGCAAAACAACAAACAAAAACAATAATCATTCGGTTTTATTTACTCATGGGGTTAGTTATTTCAAACCATTTCTGGGGTGTCTTTTGCTTTGTCATTCGCATCATTTGCAGTGCACCAGATGATTGAAATGTTCCCGGCTATAAACTTTGACTGCCAGACGAAATAGCATAATTTTGTAAATATCAACATGTTGGAACATATGTCGCAACGTGCAACTATCACAAATTATGAATTTGTTGAATCGACGCTCACTTCTGTTGGGTTTTTTTCTTCAAATTTCCTTTGCTACTTTTCTTTTTTCAGCCTTGACAGAAAAAAACGTTGATTTACTTTTCAACCTTTTCCACAATATTTCAACAATCGAGTTATTTTTGAAGTTTTTTTTTCTTTCGAAAACAAAAAGTTGAAGATTTTTCACCACTTTTTTTTTTTTAAATTATACCGCAATTTGATTGGCAACAGGCATAAAGTTTAATTTCATCGCGTGAAAATAATTTCCAATTTCCATTTTCCATTTAATTCCGTTCGTTTTCATTAAGCTCTCTTCGGCGCAGATCCACCAATTAAAAACGAAAGACCCGCAAAACTTTGTCGGGTTTCGTGCGCCAACCGTCGGCTTTAATCGCCCGAAAAAGAAAACCAAACGAGAAATATGTGCGAAATAGACGAGAAAAAAAAGCAAAGTTTGGTGTTAACGTGACAAAAAACCATTAAAAAGAAAAAAAATATTGTTCCTTGATTAGGTGGAAATGTGAAGTAGTGAAAAAGCCGCCTTTATTTTGTTTGTTCCATTTTTTGTGTGTGCTGTTGTTTTCACTTGGAAAGTTCAACACAGCGATTTTTCACGGATTTTTTCTCTGTTGTTTTTTTTTTAGGCATGTGAGTCGTTTAATTACAACATCGTCAAGCCCATAGTCACCTGAACTGTGCCATAAAGGCATATAAAAGTACTATTTGTATGAAAAGATTGAAATAAATTTGCGGCCTGAAAGAAGAACGAACAAACGAATGAACGCCAATCAAGGTAAAAAGCGCGAGAGTTAGAGTTCATTTGACTTCCATAGGAAGTAGCCTGTCAACTGAATTGTTTTATGTTATTTCATGTTCAAAATGACGACATAATTCATAATAACATTTCATGAAAAAGCACCCCCGAAAAAAACGATGATGACGAAAATTTCGTTTCGTTCATAATCATTTTTTTTCGTCGCCTGCCACACAGTATTTTGGAAATTAACTCCTTTAATCACCAATGAGAACGGGAGAACGACCCCAATAATAATGCTAATATCCACACCACACACACACAAATACACACACTCGTCGAAATTAAATACATGTAAAATGGTCGTGGTATCGCTTTTATGATTGTTAATCCCATATTTTATGAACGTGAATACGTTTCCATTTCGAATGAAAAGTGCTATTTTAAGTATAAAGAAATATTAATTTTATAACTCCTCATCGCATAGCCAGTAACATCGTTCGAGTGGAAAGAAGTCATAAATGAACCATTTTTGACAACTCAATGAAAAAAAAAAATTCTCGCCGAAAAAAAATGCCACATCAAAATAGCTAAACCAAATGGTTCGTGTGTTTCATTTCAAAGTGAAGAGAATGCGCGCTGAAAAACCAAAATTAACGCCGAATATCAGCGTCACGAGTATAAACGGAAATTCAAACAGCACAGTTGAACGCGTAGCCGTACTATGATGACCATAAAATAAGTATATCATTTACAATTCATAGCCATCTTTAATGAGTTTATTAGAGAAGATGTTGATATACGGCAGAGGAATGTGCCATGAAGCGAATTCGCTCCACGAAAGAAGGTGAAAAAAAAAACAATAGAATGGTTCAGCCTTTTGCTAACGACTCCACACACAGCACATATGTATACATGACAAAACAAAATTTGGAATTTCGCTTGGTCATCTTGATTTTAACATGTGATTATTATTACGACGACTTAATGAAAATTTGTGCAGCAACAAAACACCTCTTGCAATGGCCAGTGGTCGCAATCGTAATGGATTTGATGGAAATCGCCATAAAACAATGAACAAATTAACTTGAGATCAGAATTCATTTCTTCTTCGTTGTTTTTTTGTGGGTCATTCGCCGCATTTTACGACCGCATTTTGTTTTTGACACATCATCATTTCGAGTGTTAGTTTTATGATGTACAACATTTATGGAATAAAGCGCGCGAGAATTATAGCTCAACGTATGAAAACAGGATGCATTTTTTTTTAAGTTCAGTCGATTCATACGGAATTAGCCATCTAATGAATATTTATATGTCCATTGTGTGAGGTAAAATATACGTATAATATGCGATGTTAAAAAAATGTGTTATGACTCGTTTCTGGCTTCTTTCGAATCGTTCTTTGATACTTGACCGATATGTCGTAAGAAATAGGTAATTCATAAGAACTTCGAGACTCTATTCACAAGTCTCTTAGTTAAAGTTTGATCACATATGTTCTATTAGTTGCGAAGCAATATTTCTTTCTCAAGTATTAACTTAATTTGCTTGATATCTTTCGTTAAATATCTAAAAAGCCATCGTTTCCAATTATCCCAAAAAAAAAAAATTGTAATTGAAACAAAATGTGTTCACATAGCCATTTGAGTGGCTGTTGTGGTTTTTTTTTTCAAACAGCGAAAGAGACAAACAAATTGAGTTATCGAAGGACGTGAACTACATTTTCAGTCATAATTATTGCAATTGTGCACTATTAATACTGTCATACACAATTCGAAACGAAAACAAAACAAAAAAAAACGTTGTTTAAAATGTGAAAAAAAGCACAAATAATTATGACAATTAACCCTGGTATCACACTTGATCCTCGATAGCATGTTACATTGTGTTTTTCACTGCATTAACGATTAACAGTTTTTCGCTTTTTGCTCTTACCATCGACTCCGCCGCCACTGCCTCCCCACCGCTGAGTCACGTGCAACATGCAAATCAGTTTTTATTGTTGAAAATCTATCGACATTCAATTTAAAGCGAACGAGTTGATCAGCACATTGTTCAAATCATATCAAACAGATGGCCATTTATCAACTTCACAATACATTTTTAGACAGAATGAGAAAAAGAGTATAATTTTTAGGTTTTCGAAATGAGTCATTTCATTTAGACCAAAGAAAAAAAACCGGCTGTTGTTGCATGGAGAATTGTGCGCACGAGGAAAGATTAATGAAAGAGTCGAAACGGTTGTTTATTCAATGCTGTGTGGTTTGTCCATTTTGACACTCCAAATACATTTAAAACTATATAAAATGAAACCAAGAAAGAGGTGACCAGCAAACGAGTGTGAAAAACATCATTATTCTTTTGCTTTCAAATGAATCGCATTCAATCTTCGGGAATA